TTCGTCAGATATGGATTCGAGTATCTGAAACACGAGATCTATTTGAACTATGATTCAGACTTCCTATTAAGACCTCGTGCCCGGGTTCCAAAAAAATTTTGAAACCAAGAAGGTTTGATTATTTAAAACCTTCTGGATGACCAAAATAAAAATTCCATCTATTTAGTATGGTTAAAGTTAATTTAAAAAGGTTCTTACTCAGGGAATCCTTGATTACGTTTCAATTTTTTTAATCGTGGTTCTAAATAGGAATCTTAGGTTTTTTTCGATTTATAGGGTCTTAACAAGGTAATTCCTATCCAATCAAATAAACAAAACAAATAAAAAAAGAATCATTCCATAAAAAAAAAGATAGGTAAAGAGAAGCTTCAAAAAGCCCGTCAAAATAAAAATAAAGACAACTGAGCTAACTTGATATGTTTGTATTAGTGCCAAAAAAATCAATAAGAAATAATAGATTTCGCATTTTATTGAATATAATCTATGTGTTGGTCTGGCCGGCGCAATGAGTATTTGGACATTTTTGGTTGAGCTGTACGAGATGAAAGTCTCATATACGGTTCTCAGGGGGGGGAAATTACCCTATCTCAATAAAGTCTATGATTGGTTCGAAGAACGTCTGGAGATTCAGGCGATTGCAGATGATATAACTAGTAAATATGTTCCTCCACATGTCAATATTTTTTATTGTTTAGGGGGAATTACGCTTACGTGTTTTTTAGTACAAGTAGCTACCGGGTTTGCTATGACTTTTTACTATCGTCCGACCCTTACAGAGGCGTTTGCTTCTGTTCAATACATAATGACTGAAGCGAACTTTGGTTGGTTAATCCGATCGGTTCATCGATGGTCAGCAAGTATGATGGTATTGATGATGATTCTGCATGTATTTCGTGTGTATCTGACAGGTGGGTTTAAAAAACCTCGTGAATTGACTTGGGTTACAGGTGTAATTTTAGCTGTATTGACAACATCTTTTGGCGTAACCGGTTATTCGTTACCTCGGGACCAAATAGGTTATTGGGCAGTGAAAATTGTAACAGGTGTACCCGAAGCTATTCCTGTAATAGGATCACCTTTGGTAGAATTTTTACGAGGAAGCGCTAGTGTGGGGCAATCCACCTTGACTCGTTTTTATAGTTTACACACTTTTGTCTTGCCTCTTATTACTGCCGTATTTATGTTAATGCACTTTTCAATGATACGTAAACAGGGTATTTCTGGTCCTTTATAAATCAAAATAGAAATAAAAAGAGATCCTAAATAAAAAAAATTTGTAAGATATGTTATTTCTCACTTGGAGGAGGGGTAATAGTATTTCATTGCTAAAAAAAATCCATTCTTTAAAAGAATAAGAAATGGTTTTTTATATTTATCTTCACCCTTCCTATATTCTTTTTTTTTTACATGAATACACAAATAGGCGAGGGGAATTAAGTTGAAGATCAATTTTACGATAAAATGGATTATGGGAGTGTGCGACCTGAACTATTGATTGGTCCATGTAGATATAAGCCTACCACATTTGAATTATCACCACCCAAATGTGTCTTTGTTCCAATTGGCGCATAAGCCTTATGTGAGGGATAAGCTGGTTCCCTTGAAGATAATTTATTCTATGATCATATAAAAATCATGTTATACATGATTAGGCTCCGTAAAATCCAATATTGAATATAAAAAGATCCTAGAAACTTTTTATTTTTATTTAACATTTTAAACGCTAATATAGAATCTGTAAATGGAGTCATTTCCTCTCCATTGGTCCGATCTCGATAATACTATCGGAGTGAAACAAGAGATCTAACGAAGAAAAGAAACTGGACTTTTTTTTAGTAACAAGTAAACCTTTCTGCGTATCTTAAAATATGAAAACTTTTTGAAAATAGTTTCAGATAAATACGCATTCTAAGGTTGGAGACGACCCAAAAAGCACTTGATCCTATCAGAAAATTAAGCCTACTTGGGTCTTGAGTATTGACGCGTAAGCAAATAAGAAAAGAAATTTAATTTTTTGACTAGAGAAGGTTCACTTGATAAAAACAAATTTTTTCTTTTACATTGAACTATTTCTATATCATAGATTATCTTTTGTGTATAAATGAATATAAAGACTCTTAACGACTCTAAGATAACCTATAAACTACCTAGCTTTAGAAATGTATTTGTTCATTCATATAATGATTAATTCTTTTTTAATTATTTGTTTGAGTCTTGCTCGAGCTGGATGATTAAAAATGATCATGTCCGGTTCCCTCGGGGGATGGATCTCTAAGACTTCACCTATCCCAATAATAAAAAAACCTGACTTGAATGATCCTGTATTAAGAGCTAAATTGGCAAAAGGTATGGGTCATAATTATTACGGGGAACCCGCATGGCCCAATGATCTTTTATATATTTTTCCAGTAGTTATTCTTGGTACTATTGCATGTAATGTAGGTTTAGCAGTTCTAGAACCCTCAATGATTGGTGAACCCGCAAATCCCTTTGCAACCCCGTTAGAAATATTACCTGAATGGTATTTCTTTCCTGTATTTCAAATACTTCGTACAGTGCCTAATAAAATATTAGGTGTTCTTTTAATGCTTTCAGTACCTACGGGATTATTAACAGTACCTTTTTTAGAGAATGTTAATAAATTCCAAAACCCATTTCGTCGTCCAGTAGCAACCACTGTGTTTTTTATTGGTACCGGAGTTACCTTTTGGTTGGGCATTGGTGCAACATTACCTATTGAAAAATCCCTCACTTTAGGTCTTTTTTAAATTTGTTTTGTGGAGTTTTGATTCAATTTAAAAAAAACCAAAGCTTGTGTATCTAGGGAAGCGTTTCTTGAAAGTTCTTCCTAGATACACGTCAATTCATATTCATGAATGTTTCAATTTATTTTTTTTATTAATTAAACCTAAGTTTATAATCAATACAGTGCAAAATATTTTCCTAGAATCCCCAATATATGTTTTATATCTTCTAGTTGAAAATGTTCTATTTTTAAAAGATCTTCTTGTTTTTGATTAAAAAGATCAAATAATGTAAATATATTTGACTTTTTCAAGCAATTATATATCTTGGGAGGGAATTCTAATTGGTCAATAAAAATTAATTTCAATGAAAGTTTCTTTTTTTTTTTTATAAGTGTAGTCACTTTATTATAAAAGATAAGGGGGGGTAGGGGAATTGTGTGTTTTGCATCTGCTAAATATAAGTTTTCTTCTTCCATCTGGAAAAAAGGAATAAAGAAATCAATCAATATTCGGGCGGATTCATGAAGTGCTTCTTTTGGTGTTAAACTTCCATTTGTCCATATTTCCAAAAAAAGTATCTCTTGTTTTTCATTCCCATAAGAATGAATACTATGATTTGCATTTTGAACCGGCATGAAGAGAGCATCTATAGGATAACTTCCATCGTCAAAGTGAAGGTCCACTTTGTTGAAATATCCGCGATTTCTCTCTATTTTTAATCCAATAAAAAAATCAATAGGTTCCGTCAACCAAGCTATATGTTGTGTGTTATCAACAATTTGTACATGGGGGGGGTAATATTATATCTTGGGCAGTTACATGTCGAGGTCCCTTGATACAAATAGACGCATCACAACTTTCATATAGATTGCTCCTCAATACAATTTCTTTCAAATTCATTAAAATCTCATGTACCGATTCTTGAATCCCCCCTATGGTAGAATACTCATGCGAGGCTTTCTCAGATTTTACACGTGTGATACATGTCCCTTCTATTTCTCCCAGCAAAGCTCTTCGCATCGCAATTCCTATTGTATCGGCTTGACCTTTTATAAGTGGAGATAGAATAAAGCGGCCATAAAAAAGGCGTTTACTGTCTATTCTTGATTCAACACATTTCCACTGTAGTGTCCGAGTAGATACTGCTACTTTCTCTCGAACCATAAAAATTTTGATTTAGTATATTAGTGAATCTTCTATTTCTCTTGATATAGGTTCACTTTTGATTTCTACACACGTCGTTTTTTGGGGGGTCTACAGCCATTGTGTGGCATAGGGGTTACATCCCTTATAAAAGTTAATAATATACCGCTTCTATGAATAGCTCGTAATACTGCATCTCTTCCGAGACCGGGACCTTTTATAAATACTTCGGCTCGTAGCATACCTCGATTCACTACTTTACGAAGAGCATTTATTACCGCGGTTTGAGCAGCGAAAGGTGTTCCTCTTCTGGTTCCTTTGAATCCAGAAGTACCGGCAGAGGACCAAGAAACTACCCGTCCCTGTACATCTGTAACAGTCACTATGGTATTATGGAAACTGGCTTGAACATGAATTACTCCTTTTGGTATTCTACGTGCATTCTGACGTGAACCAATACGTCCCCCCTTCCTACGCGAACTAATTCTCGATATATATTTTACCATTAAGCATTTTGTAAATCTGAGTCAGCGATATACTATATGGATATATCCATTTCACGATTCTTTCATTTCTATAATTGGTTTAGTTACTAAGTTAAGTTGCGAAGTCTTATTATCCCTGTCGTTGTTTATGTCTGGGGATTGGAACAAATTACTATAAGTCGTCCCCTTCTCCGTATTAATCGACATCTGTCACAAATTTTACGAACAGAAGCTCTTATTTTCATATTCAGACTCCTTACATTTCTTTTAAATTTACTTTAGAGTTTCGGTTTGATTGGAAGATTATAATAAAAACATTCATTTTTTTTTTTATTTTCAATTTCTAATTTTGTTATTTTTGCCAAAGAGATAGCTAAGTTTAAAAATGACTCCTTTGAATCATTGTTGTGTTGCAAAAGCTTCATCGACTTGTTCTGAAGTTATCCGTCTAAACTAAAAATGAATTTAGCCTATTTTCACAAAAAGAACTTATAATCCAATCTTTATTACTTTATTAGTTGATTATCTAAATCAATAAAAAAGAAAACCAGAACATACTATTTGAAAAGGATTCCTTAATAAAAAAATTCTTGAAAAAAGGAAAGTGATTTTTGTTCTTTCATCCGAAGGACTTTATTCTTTATTTCAGTGACCTAGAAGCAATAAGGAATGGGGATTTCATTAGATTCTAAAATATCCCATTTGGGAATCATAGAAATGGAAAGTTTCTACCTAATTGGCATCTTGAAAATATTACCATATATAAAAACAAAATCTCCCCCCCGATTCTTTGCAGTCGGGCTTCTCGGTCTGTCATTATACCACGTGAAGTAGAAAGAATTACAACCCCCATCCCCGCCTAAAATTTTAGGTATTTTTTTAGACTTAGAATACATTCGTAGACCGGGTCGACTTATCCGTTTTAAATTTAGAATATTGCTAAAGGTCCTTTTTTTAGTGTTTATATGTTGCAGAGTTAAAACTAAAAAATTTTTGTTGTTTTCTCGATGATTTCTCACACTTTCAATAAAACCTTCTTTTAAAAGGAGTTTTACAATCTTTTCGTTAATATTACTGGATGGGATTCGAACTGTTCTTTTTCCATCCCTATGAGTATTCCGTATAGAAGTTATTATCTCAGCAATAGTGTCCCTACCCATGATGAACTCTAATTATGGAGCTAAAAATTTTTCTACTCTCAACGTGTTTTTTTTATTGTCTATGGATTATTGTGTTTATCTTACTTTATTTTAATCTTAAAGTTATATACGTGAGACAGATTCTACTCCATTTTTTAATTTTTTTTATAATACCTCAGGAGCTAATGAAACGATTTTAGTAAAATTTAATTGTCTTAACTCCCGGGGGATTGGACCAAAAATTCTGGTCCCTTTTGGATTTCCTTCTTTATCAATAACAACTGCGGCATTATCATCATATCGTATTATTATCCCGTTGCCACGTTTTAGTTCTTTAGAGGTACGCACGATTACGGCTCTAACTACTTCAGATCTTTGTAGAGGCATGTTAGGTACAGCTTCTTTGATAACAGCAACAATAATGTCACCAATATAAGCATATCGACGATTGCTAGCTCCTATTATTCGAATACACATCAATTTTCGAGCCCCGCTGTTATCCGCTACATTTAAAAGGGTTTGGGATTGAATCATAGCATTTTTTTTATTCTTTTCTTTCACAATGCAAAGGGCGAAGAAAAAAAGAAATATTTTTTGTCCACAAACATAAAACGAAACCTCTTTTTTTTTTGTTTTTGTTTCATTCTTAAGATTCTTTGGGTTGGTTCTAGAGTTATATCGTCTATTCTATCTCCGAAATAATGAATTGAGTTTGTATCGGCATTTTTGATGCTGCTATTGAAATAGCTTTTCTGGCAATATTTTTTGTTACTCCACCCATTTCAAAAGTATCCGACCGGGTTTAACAACAGCAACCCAATATTCAGGGGATCCTTTTCCTGAACCCATACGTGTTTCTGCGGGTCGTACAGTAACTGGTTTATCGGGAAATATACGTACCCATATTTTTCCTCCACGACGTGCATTTCGTGTCATAGCCCGTCGCCCAGCTTCTATTTGTCTAGATGTGATCCAAGCGGGTTCAAGTGCTTGAAGCGCATATTTACCGAAACAAATATGATTCCCTCGAGAAGCTATTCCCTTCATTCTTCCTCTATGTTGTTTACGGAATCTGGTTCTTTTGGGGTTATAGTTGATGGATTTTTATTTATTCCATCTCTACTACAGAACCGGATGTGAGAGTTTCTTCTCATCCAGCTCCTCGCGAATTACGAATAAAGTATTTACAAAATGAGCGTTTGACTCAAATTGACTAATCATAGTGAAGATATCTAAATCTAAAGATAGATAATAAAAGTCTGGACTGAGAAGTCAAAATAATATTTAGGGATTGAGTGATCTTTTTTTAAATCTATTTGAATTGAAATGAATTATTCTACAGTTTTTTCATGATTCTCTGAGTCTAACTAATCCTTCATTTTTGACTATTCTTTATATTGCTTTAGATTGAATATTGATTCTTTTGAAAAAAGTTTTCGCGGGCGAATATTGACTCTGTCAATTTAGATTTCATTTCTAGGACGAGTTTGTGACATCTTATAGCTAGTATCTAGAAATAAAATAATTTAACATTGGTTTATTCCGCCATCCCAGCCAGTGAATGTTTAAGATTTTTTTTTATTTCATCTTGAATTGAATTGAATCTTTTGTATTCTCATAAGTTCCGTCGTCCCCATCACTTCTTACTTAATGGTTAGGTCCTAATTTTACAATGGAGCTCAAATAGTAATAATATATGAATAATTTAAGTCTTTAGCCATTTTTCTTAGTCTTTATTGGCTTTAAGCTCTTGACTTTATTTTTTTATTTTATCTCTTCTATATTTAATATCTAATTGAATATTTATATATAGATTATAGATTTTCTATAATAAGAGTATATTGTTTTTTATTATTGAATATTCTTAGATTTCTTATTCTATTTTAAATACTTTAATATGCAGAATTTAAGTATTAATGCTTCATTACATTGCCTGTTTTGTTAGACCCTACATATTGGAATTTTCAATCATTGAGCTTCTTTTTCTCCCTTTCTCTCTCCCTTCCAATTATCCACATCTTTTTTATATTTTGCTTCGCAACTTCAATAATATTTGAATACTATTTTTCGTTTATGCAAATAAATGGCAGTTGCTACAACGATATGAGCGGTAATCATATCGTGACTGGTTATTTAGATCCAGATAATGCGAAATTGATGAGTTAATTATTAGGTAATTTCTTCTCGAGTTAGTAGTTGTTACTTTGGGTTTGGTTTTCATGCTAACCTTAAAAAATAAACGAGTCGCACACTAAGCATAGCAATGATATTTTTATTAAAAATAAATAAAATTTTATTCAACCTTATAGAATTCATTATTATCAATTAGAACTGTTCCTGCTCATTACACAAAATAATTTGTGAAATGGGCCGCTCGGTATTACAGGTAAAAAGAATGAATAAAATTTTATTGAGCTTGATCAAAAAATATCCAAATTTTTATGCCTAAAACCCCGTAGATAGTTCGAACTGAATAACAACAATAATCAATTTTAGCTTGAATAGTTTGGCGGGGGAATTCTTCCTTCTCTTATCCATTCCACACGTGCAATTTCCTTTCCGTCAAGGCGTCCCGCAATTTGTACTTGAATTCCTTTTGTATCTGCTTGTTCAGCTAATTCAATAGCTTTTTTCATTGCTTTTCGAAAGGAAACTCTATTCTTTAATTGTCCAGCTATAAATTCGGCAAGAATATTAGGATTTCCATACGGTTTTTCAATTTTTGTGATAGCAATATTAAGTTTTCGGTTTACGAAATTTAATTTTTTTGTAGAGCTTTTTGTAATTCTTCAACTCCCTGCGGGCTATTTTCAATGAATACTTTGGGAAATCCAATATAGATTATGACTTGGATTAGATCGAGTCTTTTTTTAATACATATACCTGCAATTCCCTCGGTACCCGAGGGTTTGATTCTATTTTTTTGTACATAATTTTTTATAAAAGCTCTTATCTTTTGATCTTCTTGCAGATTTTCAGCATACGTTTTTGGTTGCGAAAACCAAAGTGAATAATGGGCCTGGTTTGTACCAAGTCTGAAACCAAGTGGATTTATTTTTTGTCCCATAAATACCTCCTTTTCTGGATATCAGAATATGCTTTAGTTCTAGAATTTTTTTTTCGCTTGTGGTTTTTTTAGCAAACCGAGCTCCACGGATTCAGAATCATTGAATGAAATATCTTTTAGTACAATAGTGATATGGCAGGTCGGTCTTTTTATTGGATAACTACGCCCGCGAGCCCGAGGTTTTAATTTCTTTCCAGCAGTCCCCCTCATTAACTTCAGCTTGACTAATAACTAAATTTGCTTTATTTGAAGCCATAGTGTAACTAGCATTTGATGCGGCTGAATAAACCAATTTTAAAATTTGATAACTGGCACGATAGGGCATGAGTTCTAATATAATAAGTGTTTCCTCATAGGAACGCCCACGAATTTGGTCAATAACTCTTCGTGCTTTATTAGCCGGACATAGCTATACGTCGACCTAAAACGTATACTTCTGGGGTTTTTTTATTTAGCATCTGGTACATAAAATTTGCCTCCTACTAATGACTTATAAGCATCAAAATATTTTTTAGTATTCACATTACCGATGAGATTTCTTATCATTTTTTGCATGTCCTCGAAAATTTAAAGTAGTTGCAAATTCTCCCAATTTGTGTCCGACCATATCATCCATTATATAAATAGGGAGATGCTCTTTCCCATTATGAATGGCAATAGTATGACCAATCATTATTGGAATAATAGTAGATCCCCGGGACCAAGTTATTATTATTTCTTTTTCTCCCTTTGTGTTAAGTTTCTCAATTTTTTTTAATAATTTATGAGCTACAAAGGGATTTTTTTTTAGTGAACGTGCCACAGTTTACTCCTATAAATTTTATTATTCTTTTATTTTTTTATTTTTCATATAATTGAATGAATAAATTTAATTTGTTCTATTATATTAATTTTTATACTATATATATTACATTAAGTATATTCACTCTATTAACTATATTATACTATTATATTAACTGCGGTGACGAAGAATGAGCTTCTCACTATATTTATTCCTCTTTCTAGTTTTTCTTCCAAGTGCGGGATAACCCCAAGGGGTTGTAGGTTTTTTTCTCCCAATAGGAGCTCTACCCTCACCGCCCCCGTGTGGATGGTCTACGGGGTTCATAACTACTCCTCTGACTACAGGACGCTTACCTAGCCATCGTTTAGCTCCAGCTCTACCCAAATTTTTTTGGGTTGAACCCAACATTCCCGACTTGTCCTATTGTTGCGGAGCAGTTTTGGGATATAAAACGGACCTCGCCAGAAGGTAATTTTAATGTAGCTGATTTACCCTCTTTTGCAATCAGTTTCGCCATTGCACCCGCTGCTCGAGCTAATTGTCCACCCCTTCCACGTGTAATTTCTAGGTTATGTATAGTCGTGCCTAAGGGGATTTCGGTCAAAGGTAGGGCATTTCCAATTTGATTGAAACATTTGTACCAGAAACAATGGTATCTCCAATTTGAGCCCCTCTCGGATGTAAAATATACTTCTTCTCACCAGTCTTATAATGTATTAGACAAATGTTTGCATTTCTATTAGGGTCATATTCTATGGTTATGATTCTACCATATAGGTCTTTTTCATTCCGTCGAAAGTCTATTTTACGGTATAGGCGCTTATGACCCCCCCCCCCTATGCCTTGCTGTAATGATTCCTCTAGCATTACGACCTTTACCACAATGATGCTTTCCAGAGAGCAAATTTTTTCTTCGAGCAAATTTTGGGCTGTTTACGGTTTCGCTCGGGTTATAAGTTTTGTATAATTGTATTCCCATGATATAAATGATTTTTATTTTGGATTTAAAGTTTATTTGTTTGGAGGTGTAAGCCAATGTCTAATGATCTGCGGTAGCCATTGCATTATATGTCCTCTAATAGGGAGGGCCTACCATTATGTGACCCTTTGCCAGAAGCGTAGCACTACTCAAAGTTTATGACGTGGATTTCAAAAAAAGTCTATTTATTATTTTTTAATAACTAAATTCTTTTTTTTAATATTATATCTTTTATTCCATCCCGAATTTTAATTCATTCCGTATTATTTTAAGTTGAAATAAAAATGTTAATTTTGAGTGTTGATAGAATCTATCTATATCTCTAATATAGAGATAGATTCTCTATATGTATCGGTATCCTAGAATTATCTATTATGATATATGAAATGGAAATAGTCAACATGAAATCTATCTAGGAACATATATCTTCTATGATATTTGATATGGACAAATCTATCTAGGAGCATATATCTTATATGATATTTAATATGGATTATGAAGGAAATGCTCAAAGTAGATCTATGCTAATATATATCCTAAAATATAACAAAAATATCATAAAAAGAAGAATTGGAGGGTCAATGAGATTTTGTGTAAATAACTAATAGTGCTAATAGTGTGCATCCAGTAGGAATTGAACCTACGACTTCGCCAATTATGAGTTGGGCGCTTTAACCACTTAGCTATGGATGCTTAAACGAGACCATCATCTATAAAAATTGAAAATTAAAATATAATAATTATGGTAATTATGAATCTTGGAATTGCAAATAAAAAAAAATGATATTTTATTTTATATGATAGGATATGATAGGAATAGAGAATCTAATATTCAATATCGAATTACAGCAAAAAATATTACATAAAAAAATGTCGTTTAAATAAAGAATTTCGGAAATCTGAAATACTAAACAAAGACTCTATTTATCATTTCTATTTTTACATTAAATAGTCAATAGTCAATTATATAAAACAAGTACTTAAAATTTTTGCATAAAATCTTATGGAGGTATGAGATGGAACCTAAGCAAAACAAGTTCTGGATTCTAGAATTACGAGAGATACTGAGAGAGATTAAAAAATCAAAATATTTTTTAGATTCATGGACCCAATTGAATTCAATCGGATCTTCCATTCATATTTTAGTCTCCCAAGAACGGTTTTTAAAACTGTTTGACCCACAAATTTGGAGTCTTGTACTTTCACCTAATTTGCAGGGTTCAAAAAGCAATCGATCGGTCAAGATTAAGGGAGTTTTACTAGTTTTCGTTGGCGTTGTTATCTTTATTTATCGTATTAGCAATCAAAATATGGTTGAAAGAAAAAATCTCTATTTAAAAAGACTTTTTCCTATACCGATGAATTGCAGTGAATCCATAACTGATCAAGATAGTGGTTATTCTACTCTAAATCGATTGAGTATTTTACTCCTTTCTTTTCCAAAAGGCAAAAATCAAATTGATATTGATTTACTGAATACGAACTATAATACTCGGGTTTTGCCAATAAAAAAAAAACCTAACATGCCTCAATCAAAGTCAGATTCGACGCAGGGGAAAAACTTTATTAGAGAAATTATTAGACGAACTAGAACGGAATTTAGAGAAATTCCAATGAAACTTCTTGGTTTAAATCTGGTATTATTAAAAGATAAAAAATCGCTGGAGTTTCCTTATGATTCCACAAGATCTAGTTCCTTACAAGTAAAAGATTCCGGCCAACCGAAAGGATCCTTGGATAGAAATTTTTTGGATTCCATTAGAAATGAGGATTCCGAATATTCCAAATTAATGAATAAAAGAAAATTTAAACAACGAAAACAAAGATCAACTTCTTGGGATCCTTACTTTCTTAAAACCGAACAAAAAGAGATCAAAGGCCGTAAACCCACGCTAAGCCTTCCGTTTCCGAAAGAAAGGGAACAATCTCGGGGCAATGCCCCGAGGTCCCTTTATTCATTTTACTCTGATAGATGGTCAGAACTTTATATGGGATCAACTCCTATTGCTAAGTCCAATATGGATCCGAAATTTAGGAATAAAATCTCTTTCTTTTGTCCGGCAAGCGGAAAAGAAAGAAATAGTTAATCTATTTAGAATACTTACGTATTTAAAAAGGACTGTTTTAATTAAGTCTATTTCTTTGGATCCCGAAATAGAAAATTCGAAGAATACTGGATTTCTTAAAAAAACTCCATTATTTTCTTTTGTTAACCGATTCCTTGAAAGTAAACAAGGAAGCTATGTGCTACAACATAATTGGAAATCAGAAAAAAAATTACAAAAAAGTCCAGGTTTATTTATTCTGACAATAAGCGAGCCGGATCCAGTCTATAATCAGGGATTTACTTTTTTTGTTAATATAGATTCATATGAATTGCATAAAATCAAATTATTGAATAAAATATTCAATACTAGGACTGAATCAAAAAATCAATCTTTGTTGGCTCTTTCGCCTATTTTTTTTCGTTATAAGGAGAATAACTCTTTTTTTCAGCGAACGGGCCAAAACTGCGTATGGATTGAAGCAGTGAATCTATATAGATATAGATTCATTCACAATATGATTCAAATGCAATCTAGTACCTATGTGTACATAAGAAATCTATTAAATAAATTTGTTTTCATAAATATATCCAATCACAATTTCAAATATCGAATTAGGAGAATTCAAGGGGATCAAAAAGAAACGGGTCTTCTCAATCATCTAACTCATATGACATATAAAATAAAACAGGGTCATCCATATAGATCCAAATGGTCAAATGGGGCAAAGAGTTTACAAGAAAATTCAAAACATTTTCTTTATGAGCAGAAAAGACTTTTTGAAATGTATGTTCAAGTCCGAAAGGGCCATTTGCAAATGATGTTTGAGAAAGTTTATAAATTATGTATTTATGTTATTGATAAAATAACTGAGAAATGGATTTATTGGTCTAAGGTTCGCAGGGAAGTAGAAATCAAAGTAAAAAAAAATGTGTATAAGTTAGTTCCTTTAGTTTTTACCAAGTTGTCCAAATCAGTACGTTTCTTCTTTTTTCCCCAGTCACTTCGTTTTTTTTTTACGAAGGGATTTCACTGTATGATCAAGTTGCTTTTCTTTTTGTCTAATTCACTTGGTTTTTCCTGTGTAAGTTTTGGGTACTAGTCCTGTTCAGAGGTCCGAAATCTATATCTATCAATTACAAGGACCGAACGGTCAACTTTGTAATCAGTTGTTGGAATCAATAGGGTTTAAAATGATTTATTTAAAAAAATTAAACCCCTTTTTGTTGGAAGAGTCTGGGTACGTCGAACTTTGTTATCAATGAAACAAAAAGATCACCCTTTTTGTTTCATAATATAGCAAAAGAGAGGATTGATGCATTGCTTACTAGACCAAAATATTTTGATGAAAAGGCTAATGGGTTTCATCCCATGAACCTATTTGAAAGAAGTTCACTTATATCCGCTTTTTATAAAGCAAATAGACTTCGCTTCTTTAATATTCGCCCTAACTCTAACTTTTGGTTAGATTGTAAGAGAAGATTTCCATTTTCTGTGGAAAGGACTCGGAATACTAATTCGTATTTTCTCTATGAGCAATTTCTAAATAGCTTGTTCCTTGGGAATCAAAAAGTTTCTTTAGGTGGTGGGAAAAAAAGACAGGTTTTTGGGGATAGAGCTACTATTTCACTAATTGATTCCTTATTTAAGGATTTTGCCAAAAATGGTGACCCACGGTATAACTTTGAGAATTTTTTTAATTCTGTAAGGGAATCCGATCCAGTCATGCCTAATTTGATTCTAAATACTTTTGGAACATCTTCTACAGAGGAAGAAATAGTCAATTTGGAAACAACTTATTGTCAACCGTTTTCAGATCTAAATAGAAATCTATATGATTCAGAAGAAAATCACTTTCAAGAATATCCTAATTTTAATTTAAATATGGATATGGATTTGGTTGACATTCCCTGTTCTTATAAATATTTTTCATTTCAAAACAAAAAAAATCGAAAAAAAGGCGCTGTGTTTCAGAAAAGACGGATGGCAACAACTTTTCATAGAGAGAATTTTTTTTCCATTTTATCAGAAAAATTAAATCTTTTCCAAATGAATTTGCCAAACTTCTTTACTTTGACAGGGTACAAATATCTCTATTCTCTATTGATAGATATAGTTTCAATATTAAATAGTAGGATATCTATTTATTGGGAGATTTTGTATTTATTATGGCAAATTTTTAAGATGAAATTGTTGCCCTTTTTTATAACAAGTGAAATCTCAAGTAAGTGGTTACATAACCGTCCTTCTAGCTAATGAAAGGTTGCAACGAAATACTAAAACATCAACACATTTTAGATCACCAAGTGGTTGGGCTTTTTTCGTTTCAACGCTTTTCCTTCTTATTGGTGTTGGTTATCTTGTTATTATAAATCTTGTCTTTGTTTCTCGATCTTTGAGGGAGTTAGATATCAAGTTTAAAAGATTAAAACCTTTTCTAATTCCCTCATATCTAATTGAGTTTCAAAAACTTGTAGATAAATATCCTATGTGTGAATCAAATGGGTTTTGGTTAAATAATATATTTATATTTGGCTTTAACCAATTCGTACGTTTGTTAGAAGGAATCCAAGGTTTTGTTTTCGGTCTCAACAAGATTCATCTTACTTTGAAAGTGAAACCAAGACGTTTGACGAAGAAATCTTTCAATATCCTTGAACAGATAACTGGAATTGCTGTTTCTATAAATAGAAATATGCAATATATCAGTTCTATCAGTCCTACAAGTAAAGAGCTCTATTCATTGATAAGAAAAAGAGAAAACGTGAAGGCGAATTGGATTGATGATCAAATAGAATCCTGGATCGTAAAC